TCCCTGGGAACAAGGAACACAGGATTACCCTGCAGCCCTGGGCTGCACTGAGCAGTCCTTGTTGGACATAGTGGTTCTGATGCCACCAGGTGGCAAAAACGCATCAGGTCACCAGCAGAAGAGACCTTGAGCTGACTTCTCAGCTCCCAGAAATGACCTCGTTGAGCAAATTTGCAAAGGATTATACAAAACCTGCAGCACGTGTGGATATCCCATATTGAGGAAGGACAGACCCCCATAGTGCAGCAGCTCAGCACACCAGACTGGAACCTTCTGCCCCTCCAGAGGACACCAGCAGCGTTAGACCAGAGCCCAGGACACAGGAGCAGCTGTGCTGAGCTGGGTACTGGGTGTCAGGGAGGCTCCAGGTCTGGGAAGGACAGGGCACTGGCTAAGGTACGCTCTGCTGGTACACCCTGCCCTGGCTTCTGCAAGGGCATCCCTTCTAATCCCTTCTGGGAAGTACATGTCAAGATAGGAGCTCTAGGGCATCCCTCACCAGGAAAACCACGAGCTGGCTCCGCTGCCCAATTGTGAAACCACCCTGCCTCTCTGGCAAGGGCCATTCCTGCAGCACGGATACACACCTCGCCCTGTGTAAGGAAGTTGGCCATGAGGGCTCCATTCACAGCATTCTCCAGGGAACAGTCTGAAAAAATGATAAGGGGGGATTTGCCCCCCAGCTCCAGGGTGACTGGCTTGATCCCTTTAGCTGCCATCTCCATGATCTGAGGAAAACAAGGACAGAAGAAACAAGTGATCCACTGGCCAGGGGGAGGCTGGTGGAGAGAGGCAAGAGAGACCCAAAGGGGGAGGTCATGCAGGGCCCTTCACCAAGAAGAGAAGCAGCATGAAGGGTAAGCTGGGTTTCTAGATGTGCTTAGTTCAGACTCGGGACAGCCTGAGAGAGTCTGGGTTTTGTTCTTTTAAAGATAAAACCAACAGAACCTGGGGAGGCATCTGCAGGAATCCTCATGTTCAGCAAAAGCTGCCAGCAGCTGCAGCTGCACCTGTGTCACTGCAACCCACACATGCACACACGTAGGGAGCATTCAAAGGACATTTCCCCTCTTTCAAAATCAGAATTTATTTCTAGATGTCCTTCCAGGGGCTTTTAATTTTTGAATAATAAATTGAGGGTGACAAATTCACAAATATTAACCTCTTGCTTGAAAACAGTGGGTTGCATGCAGCTGAACTGAATTATTACTGCCAGAAACACTCAGGCAGTTTCCCAGTGCTGCTGTTTTACACACCCTCCTCCCCACATCGACATCCACTTAGGCAGCTCAGAGACTTCACTGCAACCACGGGTAAACAAGCGAAGATGACCAAGGGGTTCCTCTGAAAGGATCAAATGCCCAAGACCAGCAGGCTGACTGGATCCCCAGCATGACTCTGTACGTGCCACCTCCTTGCTCAGTCCCAAAAATGCCAACCTGCACCCCTTTTTTACAAGCCTCATTTGGAAAACCTCAAGGAAATATTGACAACAGGCCCCCTGTGTCCTCGAGTGCAAAGGTGCCTTTACCTTCATGCCAGTTGGCACGCTGCCAGTGAAGGAGATTTTGGCCACATCTGGGTGATGACAGAGGAACTGGCCCGTGGCTGCCCCACCCTGCACCACATTGAAGAGCCCCTTGGGCACCCCGGCCTCTGTGAAGATCTCTGCCAACCTCACCACAGAAACTGGGGTGAAGGGAGAAGGCTTGAAGACCATTGCATTGCCTAAGGGAACCCAGAAAGAGGCAAAATGGAATTAACATCCCAAATGCTTTAGGTAAAAAACAAAACAAATCCCCACCACACACAATGACTTTGTCTCAACAGATGCCATAAGTTTCCCCCAAAAGAGGAGGAAACAGTTTCAGCTAGTGACAACTAGCAAAAGGGTGCACTTCCTGCTGGGAAGGGCTGAGGGAGATGGGACTGCTGGTCCTGCCCTGCAGACATTTCCAGAGACCTTCCTCTTCTGGTACAGAGCCTAGCTATGAGCATTTTTCGTGATGCACTCCCACCCTCTTGACATCTGAGATGTTCCTGCTTTCATTTCCTTTCCCTTCCTGCCAGAGCAACAGCCTGAAGGTTCTGCTAATCCTTCAACACTTCAAGGTAATCCTAGACTTTATCCCCCAAATCACTCTTCCCCACAGGATGAGCTGGTTTGAAGAGATGCTTGTGTGGGCAGATCCCCATTACCGCAAGCCAAGGCCGGGCCAGCCTTCCAGCAGGCAATCTGGAAAGGGTAATTCCAGGCTCCAATCCCAACACACACCCCGAGTGGTTCTCTCCGAGTGTACCCAAAGCATCCCCCAGGAAGCTGGATGTGTTCACCTGCAAAGAAACAGCCAGAAGGTAGAAAAGAGCAAAGGCCCTTCCTCTCTTACCAGAGCTTTAGGGGTCAGACCCGGATTTGCCTGAGAACAGACACACGGTTTTACCCCAGCAAGCTCACAGAAGGTGTGTGAGTGCCCACAGCAGCAGCAGGCAGAGATCTCTCAAAGATATTCAGAAAATGGAATGGTCCATCTCTTAGAGAAATCAGCAGCAAAGGTGGCCTTGTGCCATCAGAGATATCAGGGAATGTGGGACAGAGAACAAAGAGCAAACTCCAGCAACATCCTCACCAGCCAGAGATCCTGCCAGCCCTGCGTAATACTCCAGGCACTGCCAGGATATGTCGATGTCCACTCTGGCTTCAAAGATGGACTTGCCATTGTTGATGGTTTCCATGGTGGCAATTTCTTCTCTCTGCTCCTGTGAGAGGCATAGGACAGAGACAGCACATTAGGGAAGCCCATAGTAGAACTCCACAAGGAGACAGCTGCTTCCCAAGCACATGAGTCCCAAACGAGATTCTGACATGGGAAACTTTCATCCCCAAAAGGGTCATTCCCAATTGCTATACATCAATTTCCCAGTGGTGACTGAGCACAGGGGAATGTCAAAGAGAAAGGTGCTGGGGTTCACTGCTAGTCCAGTCTTGCTTAACATCCCTGTTTATCTAAGACATGAACAAACACGAACTTAGAAGCTGGCTAGCAAAAACAACGATTAGAGTTTGCAGAACTAAATTGAGAAGAAGAGCAAATAGCAAGACCAGGATGGAACCAGAGGACTTAGTGAAGGACAGGCAAAGCAACACAGCTAGGGACAGACCAGCTCCCAGGCAGAAATATTATCCTGCTGTCTGGCAGGAGCAGGAATTTGGCAGAAAGAAAACAGTTTTCTCATGACATATACACACTGGGGAAAGAAGGTCTGTGTTCTCACAGATCAGTGCCTTGATGAAGATTAACTCTGATGCTCAAGAACCTTATGTCACAAAGAAGTTTGTGATAAAGCTCACTTAAGTGTATCCTCTCCTACGTGTATTATCTGAAAAAAGCCAGTATTCCTATTTTCTCTTACTGCCAAGACACACTCCAGTCATGTGACAACAGCCTCCAACAAGCCAGAAGTTCAACAATGCGAGTTATGCAATTTTAGCTTTGAAATCTTGTGCAGTTAATCTTTGGAGTTGTTTAAAGAAGCACAAGCCCTGCAAGATGTGGACCCGATGGCTTCAGTTTTATATGTCTTCCAACAGAATTAAGCTGAGATGGCACACACTGGCCTTGAATCCAGTGATAAGACCAAAGCTGCACAAACAGGCGCTGAATTCAGTGATAAGAGCAAACCCCTGCCCAAGGCAGCCTCCTGCCTCTTCTGGCCAAAGGTGGGTTTTAACTCCCGAGCTTCTCCTGGAGCTCTGGAAGCCTGCTGGAAGGCCCCCAACAGCCACAACAACCCACAAGGAAGCTCACAGACAGAACCACTCCTCCCCAAAAGATGCAGCTGTCTCCCACGACATACCCGGATAATTCTGGCAGCCTCCAGCATCACCCTGCATCGCTCCATGCCAGACATCTGACTCCATATTTTAAAGGCAGCCTTTGCGCTCTGCACAGCCAGATCAACTTCCTTCTCACCAGAGCAGGGCAGCTTGCACAGCACACGACCTGGGCACGTTTTAAACAGGGGATAAATAAGATGGAAGTCTCAGAAAAGGGGCTCAGAACATGGTTTACCTTGCACCAAAACCCAAATAGTTCAGTCCAGCCACCCATACCAGGGACAGAACATCCCCCATGATTCACACTGATTTCTGGGAATTTGCTATAGAAAAAGTGCTGTAATTCAGCTGGTCTGAATTAAAAGAGCTGCCACCCTCCACAGCCACGTTCCAGTTACTAATTAGCTCCAGTTGTTACAAAATTCCTCTTTTTCCCCGTGGAGTTTGTTACACTTCTACCACCATCTTCAGGACTCTGTTACACATTCCTCAGAGTCGTTAGACACTCTCGAAGTGATTCTGCTGAACCCTAGGCACCGATAACTAAAAATAAATAACTTTAGAGATATTTAAATCGTGGAGTTTTGCCAAGATCAAGCACCACTGGATTTTTTGCCTGACTGACAACGAGAGCTGGCTTCTGCTGTTAAAAGACTGACGAGGGGGAAAGGCTGGAGGCAGAAGGGCCACCAAAGCACGGTGGCACTGGAGCAGCAGGGCGTGCAGGACACCCGCACAGGCGGCACCCAGGCCTCGCAGAGAGGTACCGCGGAGGCTCTCCCGCGCACCGACCCTTCGGGCTCAGGGTTACCCCCACCCCAGCGGGCTGCGGGCGGTACCTGTGGCCGGCTCATACACCTCCTCCACCTGGCCGCCGTCGGCGGGCTGGACGCGGGCGCCCGCCCGGTAGTTGAGGGGCTGCTGGATGGTGACGGTGCCGGTGGCGCTGCTCATGGCGAGGCTGGGAGCGAGTGCGCAGAGCCGGGGGAGGAGGGTGGGCAGCCGGGGCTGTGCAAACATCGGTGGGATCCCGAGAGGCGCCGCGGCGAGAGGCACCGCCTCCTCCACCGACGCTTTTCCCCCGCCCCATCCAGGGGCGTGCCCGCCGGGATGGAGCCGAACCCGCGGCCCCGGGCGGCGCTCCATCACCCAATTAAGACACATTCATTAATTAACATGCCCATGCCGTTTATTTCTCAGAAACAAAAGGTCGAGTTATCTTCTCAGAGATGTTTCCTGGTTTGATGAGCCATCAACTGCTGGTGGAACACTCCAAATGGATGATGATTTCAATACTGCATAGCCTGGTTTTGTTTGGACAGGTGATGCCTGGTGCGGAATCCCATCTTGTTACCTCCCAAAGGCAGTCTAGTGCACTGGCCAGGCCTTCCATGAAGGCTGTGCTTTAGGAGAACTTCCCTGCCTGAGGTGGGGGGCCAAGGAAGCCTCCTGCCTGCTTGGTGGCAGCCCGGGAAGGAGCAAGACCGAGCATCTTCTGGATATTCTGCGGAAACAAGAACAAAGAGCAGGATAGTGTCAGACCATGATGAGGGAGACAAAGAGGAAGAAATCCCAACTCTGCTTACAGAGTTACAGAATTGTTAGTTTGGAAGGACCTCTGGAGATCATCCAGTCCAACCCCCCCAAAGCCAAGGCAGGGTCACCTGGAGCAGGCGACATAGGGATGCATCCAGGTGGGCTTGGAATGTCTCTAGAGAGGGAGACTGGGCAGCCTGCTCCAGTGCTCTGCCGCCCTCAGTGTAAAGAAGTTCTTCCTCCACCTGTTGAGGTGAAGTTCCTTGTGTTTTAGTTTACATCCACTGCTCCTCATCCTGTCACTGGGCACCAGTGAACCGAGTCTGGCACCATCCTCTTGGCACCCACCTTTGAGATATTTATGTGAGTTGATGAGATCCCCTCTCAGTCTTCTCTTCACCAGACTAAACAGGCCCAGCTCCTGCAGTCTCTCCTCATTAGAGAGATGCTCTGACCCCAGAATCATCTTTGTGGCCTCTGCTGGACCCTCTCCAGTAGCACAAGTAAAACCTCCCCACTAGTTTCAACAGATTCAGGTTCTCACCCACACAGCCTTATCCATCTGGCTACTGTTTGTTGGACCTCTATCCCTGTATGTTCAACCCTCTATGTTCAACCCAGCTTAGCAGAGAGCCAGACAATCCTCCCCTACAGCTACATTTAGAGCTGGGCCACTCTTCCCCACCTCAAAAAAAGCCTCTGGTTACCAAATCCACATTTTGGCTGAGGGTTCTTTTCCACCTGCAGCTACACACCCCACAGTCAGCTGGCAGGTGCCTTGTCAGTGTCTTTATGCACGTGTTGGATTAAAATCAACCTACAATATCTTTGCAATTTAACTGCAGTGCACACTCAGGAGCAGGTTCCCAACAGCTGCTCACAGGTAGCACCACACAGCCCTTGGTCTTCCCAAATTCCAGAAAGCACTGTTGATGGCGGCCCTCAGAGCCAGAGGGTCTGCAAGCTGGCGAGGAAGGCCCTCTCCTAATGCAGCCGGAATTTGGGTCAGCAGCATGGCAACCACAGTGTGTGCCAAGTCCAAGTCAGGAGCTTAGGCACAGAATTAGCATGAATGCTAGTGCTGCAGACAGAACAATGGGGCGGTGGAGACATGCACGATAACAGGACGTATGCAGCAAACCCCAAAACCTGACTATTGAGATGACCTCATCTGCATCCCAGCAGGGTGTTTCAGTGGAAAACAACAAACAGGGAAAGAATTAATTAGCAGAGCCAGGCATAAGCTTTTTTAAAAAAAAAAAAAAAAATCACAGCAGAATATTTAAATTTTATGTTTTTCCTGATTTTTGAGAAATTTCTTTTAAATTTCACAACAGTACGACTACAAAGAGCCATCTTTGGGTTTCATGCTTCACTGTAAGGAACTCCAGCTCGAGATGCTGCTCCTGCAGTGCTGGCACAACAGGGACATCTTATGTAAGGGAAAGAAGAAAACTGTGTCTTCCTCATGTCACCAGCTGAGTCCTGGCTATTGAGACAACAAAAGGAGGAAGGAGGATTCTCTTCAAACCTGAGTGTCCTCTGCAAAATAACTGTCAGGATATGTCAGACAGGAAGGAGAATAAACCAAAAAAAAAAAAATAAAAAAAAAAATAAAAGGCAGATAGTTTTCTAGTTCCACAGTAGCTACATTAAAATAAAACAATCAGGAATCATTCCAGGTGGAGACTATGAAAAGGAAGGTTTCAGCCCACACAGAAGCATGACAGTAAAGGAGGGGAACACTTGAAGAGGAATTACGTGAGGTCCAGAAGTCCATAACCCAGCCACTGGCTGATGTTCAGCAACTGAATATATACGAGAGCATTTAACTCCTTTGCGAGGCTGCTCCCCTCGGCACTTCCTTAGTCAAGCAATGGACAGAAAGGAGGAAACGAGCAGCCGAGGGACAGATCCAGTAACACCAGAGGGTGCTGAAGAGCCAGCAGCAGGCAGGACCAGTATCGTGCGATCTTCCTACCGGCTCACCCGTGGAGCAGAGAATCCATGGAACCGAAGAAGTGTGCACTGCCTCCGACCTGTTCCTTTTAGCATGGAGGGAGAGGAGAACTGTGGTGCTAAAGTTTACTCCAACTGCTTGAACAGTTCTAAGAGGAAGGGAGATGATAGTCTGTATGTGAATTCCAGACCACAGTCAGTCTCCAGCATTATCCTTCCATGTAGTCCCCTCCATGCTGTGGAAGGCAGATAGCATCATGCACTAGCTCCAAAGCAAGTTTTTCTGGATAGCAATCCTGAAGTCTACAAAGCTGGAAACACCAGGGATGGGGCAAGGTTCAGCAGAAACCTTGTCCTGTCTGCTGTGGGACACCTTACACAAGGAAGTCTGCAGAGTCTACTTCCAACACAAACATGACCATTACCTCCAGGAGCATGGAGGGAGGACTAAAAATCCAAATTCCCCATCCAAGCTTTTCTGATCTTCCCTCAAATGACTGCAGGAAGGACAGGATCTGCTTCTGCTTTTGTCTTCAAACCCAGAAGGGGCCTCAAGGCAGCAAGTGGCTCCCTGCCCTAAAGACCAGGCTCTGTGGGAAAGTGCACTCCTGGCAGGAGGGATAATTGCTGGCTCCCCTTCCCACTGGGAACACGTTTCAGTGACAAGCAGCCTAATCTACAGTTCAGATGCGTGTGAAAAGGAAGTGAAGACCAGCAAACGCCCGAGGAACAGCAGCATATCCCTCTTCCCAAACAGCACAGGTGAAGGCTGGGAGCTCAGAACCAGGAGCGGGGACAGAGGATGTAACCCTGACATTACACCTCCCACCCAGCCCAGCAGACTTTCCCAGCTGAAACCCAACAGCTCAAGGACCCTTGGAAGGCCTCTCCCAGCAACCCTCCTCTCTCCAAACAGGAAGGCAGGAGGAACTAGGAGACAGGATTTACGTGCCAGGGAGAGCTGGGAACAGCGCAAAGGAAGTTACTCACTGTGAGGTGACTATTTTGGGAGATGCTGGCCAGGTCACAGGCAGCAAGCTTCCCAGTCAGTGTTTGAAGAGTTTATCACCCCCACATGCCTGAGGGCCCCATGAAGAGAGTGCCTGATGCTGCTCCTGCCTGTCCCACTAATGTAACCACCGTCCAGTTAAGCCTCCCACCCTCACGTACTCCCCTGCATTTCCCATCAGGTCACTGCTTTTTCACACACACAAGAGTTCCTCCACCTCTGAGCTCTACAGGAGCATCTCTCTTCCCTGCCATTGATCCCTTCACAGGTAGCTCCAGGGAAGGCTGAAGGATGTATGATCTCCTTAGTTTGTTTGTAACCTGTTCCCTGACTTTTGGTACACCTCCACTCCTCCTCTTGTGTGAGCAGCATCAAGCCAGACACAAACTCCCATATCAGTTCTCCTCCCTTGGGCTAGCAGCTGTTTTGAAGCTAACATGGCAAGATTTCCCCTTCTGAACACAGTGAAATACAAAGGATCACAAAACTTTCACCTCCAAGGTCATTGAAAAACACTAAGTGCAAGTCTTTGGCACCATTTTAAGCCCTTAATTACTTTCATGCCCCCTCCCCTGGCCTCTCACAGCACTTCAAAGTCCTCCTCCCAATGCTGTTATCACCTAGGTTCTTTCAAATAGCAATAAAGCCAGGAGTAGGATGCCAGCAGCAATCACAGCTTTAGTTCCTCCTTTTGAGCAAACTGGAGTGTCCCTGCCCTTCCCTCCAGATACCAAGGAGGAAGAAAGTGCCTGACAGCTGGAGAACTGCAGGAATCCATGTTAATTCATGCTAACCATGATCAGGTAGATAAGGCAGCATTATGCAGACTGCAGTCTAACACTTTGGAGCACAAACACCCTTCTCCAAAGCAATAAACTAACTTCCCTCCTCCACAGGGCCTCCAGCATGACCTCTCAAGCACAGGGGCAATTTTTTTTTCCCAGAACTTCTCTTGAAAGGCCAAACCACTGCAAAGAGCTCAGCCTTTCTGAGTTCATGCCATCCACCAATTTCACCATATGAAACAGCAGGAAATTCCCAGGACTAGGACTAACCACAGGAATTATATTTTTGGACAAAAATGGGGGATTTTCCAGCAAAGGAGTTCCCCAATCAACCAGATGGGTGCAGAAAAATCTTGCTGGCAGTGCTATTTAGTTTCATGTAACTTGCAACATTGCAAAGAGAGGACTTCCCATGTAACAGGTGAGTAGCACGGAGCAGCACCAGACAAGATTGCTTGAAGGAACAGCATCAGACTACAGCATACCAGGAATTCTGGAAGGTGATCTTAAGAGCTAAAAATGTCTCATTTCTTTCAAAGCAGCAAACACTGCTCCAGTTCCCAAGTCACTGGGAAGTGAAAGTTTGTCTTGCAGCAAACAGTCAGGAATCCCCTGGCCTTTGGTACTCTGAAGCTGCGCCTGCCTGGAGTGAGGGGTGGGCCAGGTGAACTCCAAGTGATCATTTCAACATAAGTTATTCTACAGTTATGTAGAATTTTGCACAGGACCAGACACAGATCCATTTCAACACAAGCATCCAATACAAAAGGCTATGGAGAATTCCATTTATTAGCATGCACTTCGTGACTAAAGGAAGTCTCTGTTATGGAGCTGCTCCATGAAGCTCATCCTAACTTCTGACAGTATCTGGTATAACACATCACTTCCCTATGCTGATGTGCTATAAGTCTTTCTAAGTCCCCTGCCACCCCCCAAGTAAAAGCAGCTGGAATTCAGGAAGAAAATCAAAGAAAAGGCAAACAAAATACAGAAGCACAGGTAATTTGCAGCTAGTTGCACCAGCATTCATCCAGCCCCCAGAGTCTTTTAATCTGGAAAAATCTGGAAAACAAAGTAAACTTCTGGCTGCACTGAGAAGGCCCTCTTGTCCTCATTGGCCATTCTGCCACTTAAGCTGCCAGTGAACCTTCCTGAACAGGCACTTCTCTTATCCTTACTGATATCCTCACCCTCTTCCAAAAGATGGGACTACTGAGCTAATCTGGAGAGCTGTGTGGATCCTACTCTTGGCTTATCATAACAGACCCTCTCTGTCTCTGTCAAGTCCCTGACACCGGGAGAGACTTGACATCCAAGGTAATGTTCTTAAGACTGAAAAAAATCAGGCAGCCAGCAAACACAGGAAGGACAAACCCAAAAGAGCAGGTTTAACTTTTTCCTCACTTTTTTAGCAACTTCATGGGCTGATGAAACCTTTATAGAACTACTAGTCACCAAGGAAATTTCCCCTAAAGCTGCTACTGTTTGTAAAGATGCACACATTACTGTAAAAGTCATAATTACTAAAAAGTAGGATTCAGATTGGCTTCTGATGGAGACAATCTCTTGGTATGGCAATCCACAAAGTTATCATACAAATCAGGAATCCATTTCTGCCAACTCTGTCCTAGAGTCCTGGTGCAAGTCTCTAGTCAAGTCTTCCAAGTCAGTCCAGGATATTGACTGTTTTTATGATCTCAACCTAGAATTGTTTTGAATATGAGGCCTAGGAATGAAGGGGAACAACGGATTAAAGATCATATGTGCAATACTGGACTGCAGCAGTAAATTCCTCTTCATGAATGGAGATGTGCTTTCCCTGCTCCAGGCACATAGGAGAGACAGCAATGTGCTCACCTGTCTGATGGACATTGTGCAGAGAATGTAGAGGAAGATGAAGGAGCAGTCGGTGTAATCCTCACCCAGCAGGTTGCGGTGGGAGAGACCTTGGATGTATGAGAGGGGGATAAAGGGAAGCTTTGCCACCACTCGGCCATCAAATCTGGAAAAGAGAGCACTGGATCACAACTGGGGACAGTAAAAGAGCATTTGGATATGGAAAGAACAAGTGAGCATCTTCAACGGGCCCCCAGAGCAGATGAGACCACATGGAAGGCTAAGAAGCCTTGCTGCCTTCTCCAGCCCACCTCTCCATACCCTCCACCAAGGAGACTGAGCACGCCTCTCTCACCAAACCCTCCACACCCAAGCACCCACAGGGTAAGGAGGCTTCCCTCAATAACAGTTTTGGCACAGTCAAGGAAGTTCATAGTGATTTAAGTGATGGACTGGACAAGCTGTTGTTTCATAAAATCTTGGTCGGTATTTTGTAGTTTTCTGGTGCATTTTATTTAACAGTCAAATTTAGCAGATCAGTTCCCAGTCAGCACTTCAACAGATGATGGATGACTGTCACCCTGCTGTATTGCAGTTACTGCAACAAGACAGACTCTTTGCTTTAAGCAAAAGAGCATTTTTTTAAGCAGAGAATAAATCAAAAGACACCTTTTTCTTTCCTGGAGCAACCACACTCCTCAGCACAAGAGGGTCATCAACAGAACACATTTAATACCCCCAGTCTTCTCTGCATTAGCTCTGAAGACAAGGCAGTGCAGAGGCAGGATGATAGTGCATATTCCAAGCGGCATGTCCTGCTCCTGGAATTCCTCCAGGTCCACATTCCAGGGCATCAAGCAGAGTGTGAATTCTGGCCAGTTTGCAAAGATTTTTCCCAAGCCAGACAGTCAACCCAATCTTTTGAAGTGAGTGTGTATGATGCCTCATCAGCATGTGCATATTTGGATGTTATTTTCTCTGCATGTGCTGATTTTCGAACAGGTGTTTCTTGTTTCAAGAGATTCTAAATGAGCCTTCTTTCCTGTGGAGATGCATTCACACAGCTACAGCTCAAACACACGCCAACTTTGTTTACATCTCACAGGCAGTTTGGCAAAGGAGCTCGGAACGGATGTTTATCTCCCTGTAACATCCCCCAGTGGCTTCAAATTCTACGTTATTCCTGCTGTGAGAATGACAAGTACTTCAGCAGTAGCACCCCGAGGTACCTGCTTTTAATTCCAGCAGGTTTTCACAGTTATGAAGAGGTACTGAAATGCTCAACTCCTAGAGTAAGGCAGAGAATTGATTGCATTAAAAAGTTTCTGGCAAGAGAGAATTGAGACACACGGAAGCTAATTTCTCTCCCAGGAAAAATCCCTGGTGGCTTGGAGGCCACCACTGCTACACATCTCGCTGCCTTTTAAGCCACAACAGTCATTCAGCTGCTTGTCTTGAGCACAGCATTCTGCTCTTTGGGTTTAAATCAGCCTTCTTGATGCTTCCTTCCAGCATGGTCCAACCTGCTGCCCCATTACTACTGACACGCTAAGAAGGAGAACAGCTCATCCCAGTAATTTCCATTTTGGCTGAGCTGGCACTTGGCAAACGTGAGGTGCCCAGCCACAGAGTAGCAGCATTTGCATAATACTTGTCCAAAGGGTGGCACAAAATGCTGCTTCCACACAATTCCTTGCTCCTTTTGTCCCCTGAAGCCATGACCTCACTCAAGACCAGGAAAAGCAGCAAATGTGGCTGCAGCCATTGCAAGCCTCAGCCACCCTTTTTTCTCCTTTTCGTACCACACCCACAGTGCCTCCATGGATGAACCAGCAGTAGGGAGAAGAGGAAGTCTAAGAGCCTCCTAAATCCATAACTGAGCTGCTCTTCCTGCAACAAGCAGCTGCTCTTTATACTGTGTCAAGAGACTGGCAGTACATGAGAACCAGCTCCACCAAACCACTGTCAGCTTCAGACAGTGCAGGTACCACCCACCAAAGCTGCCATTTGATTCAGGTCCACTGGCTACTTTGTACTGAGACCAGGAGCAAGGATTTAATTATGCAGCCCCAAAGGGCAGGCAGTCAAATCTTTAGATTCTAATTCAATAACCTCAGCTAATAGCAAGAAAGTTATTCTAGCTCTAACAATCAGTGAGGTCTCTGGATACTTCTGCTGTTCATGCTCCCTCTAAAGAAAGAGGTAGTTAAAGGAAAGATATGCCCAAAGGTTCACATAAAGCCTCTGTCTAGTAGCATGATCTCTGTGGGCAGGAATCCTCAAAAGAGGAACAAGGCAAGTAAACTTGGTGGGTTTTAAGTTTGCTGGTTTCTTCTTTTTTTTTAAGATTAATATCTATGGAAGGAGGAGACACAAAGGATTTAACCCAAATCAGTTCCTTCCTAAAGCTCTTAATAAATTTACAGTTCTGTAATACTAGTTGGGCACAGCATACTCAGAACAACTGCCTCTTCCCCCTATAGGAAAGTGGGCAGAGTAGGGTAAAGCCTTTTGTTTTTCCACTTGTTTCAGTGCAGGGGTGGTCTTGATGTTTGTATTGCACCCAAATAAGCACATCAAGCACTTGAAGGCCTCGAGTGCAGCACTATAAATCCCCCTCAGACACCTTGTTGCTGGGGATGTGACTCACCATGCACCTCCAGCCCTGCTCAGGGCTGCAGTGAAATGAGACGTCAGTGACTCAAGACTGTACCCAAATTTTAGAGTCCTTTAGTGCCGTGTTGCTCTGCTCAGCTTCCCAGCACCCAGAGAATGCTAGATGCTGAAGTCTGACTAAGCTGAATAAATAAAGAATCCACACAGTGGCACTTCTGTTATTATGTTACCCCAAGTTTGCAATTTATCCACCCACAGATCTCCAGTAAAATAACAATTGACTGTATCCTAGGGACTGCCAGCACAGAGGCCAAAGACTCTGGTGCCCAACGATGTAAATTCCTGTCTGGAGGACAAGCATATTGCCCAGATATCAAGCAACCTCCTACAGGTTATCCTAATCATATCCATGTCATCTTCAGATTTAACAGCCAACAGTTCACATTTTAAGTGAAGCAAGTTTTAAAAGTCGAGCACAAGTCTTTCAGATTTGCATACCTGAAACAAAGCTTTCTATAACCCTGTAAACCAGTTTGGGGTTTTTTATCTTTGTTGTTGTTTTTTTTAACTGGACCTATCCCAGGTCACTTTCAAAGCAAAGGGAGATTGAAGCCCATGCCTGGACCTGCCAATATCTGGACTCTGATCACCTTAAGTAGGGCAACAACAAACTCTGCAATTACAGCTCATTTCTAAGGACAAGGGAGCTGACCCAGTTTTGCTTGCAAGAGCATTCTGTGGTCACACTATTATAGTCAAGCCAAAGTAGCTGAAGACTGAAGCTGCTTGCCTGACATCTCCCAGACTTGCCCTAATCAGGATGTTCCCACACAGAAAGGATATTAGAGCTGTGTCTAGACTGAATGCAATTTACTGAGCTTGATTGTCTTCAGTATTCAATGTTCCCTCTTGAGCAGAACGTGCATGTGGTGGCTAAACCACCCCATCTTCATATGAAATATTGATCCATTTTATACAGATTAGTTATGGTTCTTGGCTGGACTCTGTCACTGCAACATTTGAGGTGATAAAGGGAAGGTGGAGAATATATTCACCACAAAAAATTAAGAAAAAAATCCAGGAAGTTGATACTTACATGGAGTTGAACATTCCCATCAAGGCAGTAAAGCAGAAGCCAATGGCAAACATGGATTTCATTCGAACCTGCAAGCAGAAAGGTCAGAGATAATCAAAACAACAGGCCTACACTGAAGAATTATGAGCTCACGCCCTCATGAACAGGCTTTGTACAGATCACTGAAATCCACAGGGAAAAATGATGACCCAGAAGGCAGAGGGATTATAAAAGTGATTGAAGAACTCCCAAAGATAAGTTCGGTCAACAGCTGGGTACAAAGGCAGGCACAGCATAGGCCACTGATGTGAGGAATTGCATCAGGGAGACAAAACCAAAAAGTGCTCTAGAATTTTCCTGTTACCTTCTACAGGCTCTTTTTTTCCTTAAGCCTACACAACCAGTCAGCAGGGGATCATTACAATTACTGAAGTTACAAGAAGTCAGACAAATTCTACTTTGAAAACATCATGGAGACTTATAAAGCTGAAAATGGCTAAGGTTTGGCATGAGAGATGAGGCAGTAACTGCTGGAGAACTCTGTGGCTCACACTAAAATCTGTAGAGAATTATTAGAGAAAAACCAGAAGGACTTTTCAGGAAGAAAAGCAGCTATGTCTGCCAGTTGAACAAAACCTTTCTGCTGGAAAACTGACTGAAATCCTCAGCAGTTGGGAACTGGGTTTAATTTTCATACCATTGACAAGTCCCTGTTGTTATTCTTCAGCTTCTCTTCTTGTCTCTCTGCAAAGACAAAAACAACAGTTATAATCAGTTCTGTCAACCTAGAAACCAGAGTGTTTTCATTTCCAGGAAGACTTAACCTTTTTGGCTGTGCAAACAAATAACACTTCCAAAATCAACTCCAGCTCCCTCTGCCAGACAGTAGAAAGTGAAAAAAACTGTACATAGCCAACCATTTCTCCACCACAGCAACGTGCAGCAAGGCTGGCACAAAGAGAGGAGGTGGCTGGAATCACACATTCAGCACTTCTGAAAGAAATGCACCGAATGTCAGATTTGCTAACTCAACCGACACAGTAGCATGAACACTATAGCCAGAGATCAGAGACAGTGCCCCTATATCACAGTTCCCAAAGAAAGTGGTCTCAGTTTGCCACACACCACTGTAAATACGTTGTGTAAGTAAAGATTTCATTTTGGAGGTGTCAGAAGGGACTTTGAAACAACACAAAGAGCTGGGAGCTGCACCTCAGCAATGCCAACATCCTGCTTGTTTCGGTAATGAATTTTGGACTCTTGTCACACCTAGGAGGTTCTCCAAAGATAGATTTCCTACATGAGATTCAGTAATGTGTGTATTACTGTGCTTTGCAGAAAATACTTTAAAATACTCCTTTGGAAATTTAGTCTGTCCTTAAGTCACCACAAACTTCAAAGATACTCAGAGATCAGAGAGGACATTTTCCATGCCCCTCATTGGAGGACTGCTCTGGCCTCGAGCATTATCCACTACCTGTCACCTTTCTTGTCCCATGTCCCCATCATCCCCTGTGCTCCTCTCAGACTGAGGATCCAGAGGGGCAGCCAGGGCTTGGGAGCAACACCCAGCTGAAGTAAGGATGTGGACGATGAAGAAATATCAAAAGAACAGCGTGAATGAAGAGGGAGTGACGCAGAAGGACTGTCAAGTGTGATTTTCCAGGGATCCCACTGAAGTTTCAGTACAAGAGGCCCATGAAACAGAAGCTCCACAATTCTCTCTCTAAGCACAGAGACTCACAGTGTTACAAAAAGCTACAGCAACACCCCTACCCAATTTCTTAGAATCCTCTTGGCTATTTTCAGTTGCTCCTAACTACAAACCATCCACTCCGGCAGGAACTTTCCAGACACCTGCTTCCTGACCCAGGTGGAGAATCTTGTTCTGGGACATTTCAGCAACCTCAAGCCAGTTCTTCAGGAATCACATTTGGCACAAATACTTGTTTTTTCCCCTCTGCTACATAACTAGCCATCTTTTTAGGTGGGCTAAAGGTTACACAGGGAAAAGAACACAGCCGAGATCCCCCAATATACCTGAACTGTCTCTCACCTATTTCTACAAATTCCAAACAAACAGGCTCTGGGTGTTACTGTTCATCCAGCATTCACGTGGATTCCTGATAATGTCACTGTCTTTCCTTCCAGGGGCACATGGAAACAGAAAGCAGTAGCAAAGTTTAAGCTACCAAATTAATTTCTTAAGATGAAATGACAAAAAGCCACACCACAATGTTAAAGGTGTCCCGTTCCCAGCAGTGTCAAAAGGTGATTTAGACACAATGTGACTGAAATTTTTAAGTGTGAAGTGAACTGAAGTTTCACAAGTAGGAAGCACCAAATTAAGCCTTCTCCTGCAACTTTCACCCTACCTCCTTGTGCACATGCATGATTCACCCCTTATGAAACCAAGAAATATCATCCACACACCTCCTGTCTTACTCTGTGCACAGAACAGATGGCAACTGAGGCAGGTCTGTACCACAGCTGCTACTTATCCAGAAAGCCTCAGTCAATATTTATTTTTCGTTAACTAAAATGGTAGAATTCAGAGGCACTCCAGCACAAGTAAATTTGCTGTTACAACAATGCCACATCTTGCAGAGTGATTTGACATCCAATAGAGTTACTGAAATCAGAGATTTCAAAAGCAGTTAACAGCTGTGAGTCATTTTCTGGAAGTCCAGCTTGACATTTAGGGCCTAATTTTTCAGAAACATCAGGAATTCAGCTTTGCCTGAAAACAAATGAGATACTGAAGTTATGCAGCACTTGGAAAAATAAAAAAAATCAGCCTCAGTATCTTAGGTCTGGCCAGCAAGCATCACAGCAAACAAAATCAGTGGTCACTTCCTAAGTTCTGATCTTAGTCCCTTTGTGCTTTGTTTTTCCATCAGCAAAACAAGATTATTTCAGTGTATAAAAAAATTGGTGGAGCATCTGAATTCCTCAGATTCTACTGTTTATTAGTTTAGTCCAAGCACAAGTACAATATTGTCTGCTAGGAACATAGCTTGGATGGTGCCCTGCAAAAAAAAAGCCACTGTCACACTTTTTAATGTTATGTGTAGATGTTACACAGGGTCACTTTCAAAGTTGCCTTATCCACCAGGCAGTGTTCATCCCACACAGGGATTATTCAAGATGAAGAACTGAAAACACACAAGAGGAAGCGTTTGGCTCCTGTCCCTTCAGGAATCTAAGGACAACAGGTTTTCTACCTAGGAAGAACTGTTTGAAGATGTGTTTATAATTCCCAAGCTTTGTACAGATCAAATGACTAATCCAGCTACCTGGAGTTACAGAGGAATGAGGAAACCAACTCCCAGGAGCTCTCAGAAGTGTTCCTGCCACAATTTCTGTAATAACTTAACTGAGCTTTGCTGCATGTTGCAAGTCCTGCAGATAACAGAACTTCCTAAAAGCTCACGTCCCTTAAGCATCTCTTTACCTTGTTCTTGCTTAGTTCAGTACTTAAAGAGTTACCTTTACTTAGGAAGACTTCAGCTTATTGACAGTGAAAAAGAATGGAAAAATAAATCACTGCCTAAAATTGAGCAAAACTAGTTTATCAAATTTGAGATAAATCTAAGGACAGTTACAGTCAACATAAACACCTTCAGCTCTGAAGTGTTCAAACGAGGGGGAAAAAAAAAAAAGATCCAAAAATTACAATCACAGAGTCCTACAGCTATTGCAAGTTGCCAGTGCATTGCAAAGAGCTTTGACAAGAGAAATTAATAACAATCATGGCTAAAATGGGAGAGAAAAGTCAATGAGTTCAGCAAGTGGTGCTGCTCCTCTCAGTGATCCGCCCATGTGACCAAAGCCATCAGAAGGCTGGATGTCTCCTGCCTTGGAAGAGCAAGGCAAAATAAGTAAATATTTTTGAAAGGATCATGACTTAAGTTTCTCAGCTTTCCCTCATTTCTGAGGCACCAGTCTTACCTATCTTCTTTTTCTGCTGTCGGCCTGCTGATTCAGTTATCGTTTCCTTCTTCTTTTCCACTGCCAAATGAAAAGATATTCCATCATTTCTGCACAGGGATACCACCACTCCTTTTCCACACACCAAACAAAACATTTTACTCCTGTAGAGAAGTGGGGCACAAAGCAGCTAGCTATGACTAAGAACATACTCAGAATCAGTAAGTTATCAACTATCAGGGATGATTACACCAATCAATTAAAAACTACAATTAAAAAACTCAAAACCCTGGATAAGATATCAACATATTTAAAGGGTTAATTTAGAACCCTGTCAAGAGCCCATTACATTGTAGACTGAGCAGTCTGGGGACAATTTTGGCTCAAGTGACCCTTGCTGATTTGTCATTAGTACTAGACAGTACTTTTGATTCAGCAAGTGCAATGAAAAGAGCTTTGTGGTCAGCTCTGCTCACAATTATCTGCAGTGGGAAGCAGAATACAGGACAGCCTGTGTTCTCGCACATCCCTTCTCCCCAGGCCGGCATTCTCAGGGGAAACGCTGCCCAAGCAGTCAGCCACAGCCCCTCCATTCTTCAATCAATTAGCACTGAAGTATTTGCAATATTTTAAAGTAGGAGCCTAAGCTCTAAGGTATAAAACCCCAAATCAGACACTCACCAGGCATCTGCAACCCACTACCACTGCAGCAAGCAAGGCTCACGTAGAGCCAGCACAGTGCACTTGTAACATGGTAAATGTGCTGCTCGTCTGCAAATGTTCTGCTGACAGCAAGGTTTCTCCAGGAAGTAAGAGACATTTTTAATTCAAGAACTATAACAAAAGTACTACAAGAAGTGAGGATGATAAAGCATGACCATGATCTAGCAACAGATAGCAGCCATTTTTCCTTTATCTATGTAAACTGCATCTACCATATCTACCTTATCAACAGAGATTTGGCTCATTGTTAGCTCACAGATACCTGAGCACTAGGACTGTCCTCCCATACGAAGGACCAGGTCAGCACAGACCTTCTAGCCCTGATTTCAAAGCACAGAGGAAATAAAAACCAGCCAGACTTCCAAACCACACAAGGATTTGTAGAACTGCCCTACTCAATGCCTGTGAGTCAGTCACAACTGCTCAGAAAACCACTCTGACCCAGACAAGTTACCTGAACATCATCTCTTCCATGGCAATGTATTGAGACAACTGCTTTTTCCTAAGAACAACTGCATCTCCGAAAGGCAGGCTGAAACGAGGGGAAAAACAGGGAGCTTGTGCCCTAGGGAATACTGGAGAGAGGTGCCAGATGACTCAACGAACCCAGCAGTCACAGAAGGCTCTCTCCATAACTTTCCTTTTGTCAGCTGGGGAAACCTGATCAGTCCCCCCCTACCCTGGTCCACATAACCCCATGGCCCCTGACTCTAAACTCGAGACAGCCTTATGCCAACCCAAAGGAACAGCCCCAATTCTCCTATGGTTCCAGCAGAACAAAGAGTGTCAAGCAGTCTCCAAAGACACGGGAACATACATGACAACACAGCAGAAATTCCAGGGATGGCCTCCAGCCTTGCAAATCTACCCCCAGAACACTGACTACAATCTCTGCAGCAGCCTCAGACAACTGTGCCTCCTCCCCAGGAGGACAGGAAGAGATGAAACTAAGGAGTAACAATGTCTCCTTAAGCACATTACTCGGGCCCCTTTGTTTTTGCAAATGCTAAGGATCACTAGGACTCTCATGGGAGAGCTCAAAGATCTCAAATGTGTTTTTTCCTGTTTCAGATGTGTTAGATAACAGCTGAAAGGTGTGGCTCGAGTGGTCCACTTAGCAAGTTGTAAGCCACCAGGTCAGCCAGCTGTCCTCAGAACAGGAGGGGAAGGAAAAAGAAAAGCAAAGCTGAATTTTTAGTGACTCCTTATTTAGCTTTACCTTTTTTTTTTTTTCTTGGGGGTGGGGAAACGAACAAGGAGATCAGAAACTAATTGAGATGCATGAACCTCAGGTCTTTCCCTTCACAGATGATAGCCTAGATACCAGGAGAGCTATAAAAACAAACAGCATTAAACTCTTACAACAGTCATTAAGCCCCAGAGATTAAGCCCTGCTAACTGCCCTCGGAATTGAACAGCACAAACACACAAGGACATTAAGTTTTCAGCTGGGTTTCAACTACTTCTCTAACTGGCTCTTTTGGGGCTAATTCCATCGTGCACATAGGACAAGTGGGATTAAAGTGAGGCAGGCAGAGATGCAATCCTTGTCTGCTGCTGCCGCGGTGACAAAAGCCCCAATGTAGGAGCTGTGATACAAGTACGACTACACTTGAACTCCTCAGTTTATTTTGCCTCAGGGAAGGCTGGAATGAGCTGGACAGGCAAGAGCAATAAGTGATGATATTGTTCTCTCGTGCATTAGGAGCACTGACACCCCAGTGAAATATTTTTAAGGTAAAACCAGCTCTATTTTGGCTCCAGTTGTTGTATGCAGTCTCCTACTGCTCTAACCTGTGTAGGGTTCACATAGTTGAGTTTGAAAGGTCAGATGAATTTCTCCTCTACTCCTTGGCTTCCAGTACAGACAGGTCCATTGAAACACTTCATGATCAGCCCCTCTCCTTCACCATTTCTCTTAATATCCAAAGCACATCTTCTGACTGCTCACCCTCAGCTCCCTTTTCCCCTTCCTCCCTCATCCTTTGCTCAACCGCTCCCAGGTCTCTCTCATGTCCTCCCTATGGAATGAAAATGGAGCTTATTTCCTTAATTAATTCTGTTAGTTTTCAGTTTACATTAGTATAATTTATTTTACATCAGCTGATAGCTCAGACCTTCTATGATGACTTGGTCTTTACTCATCCCCCCGTCACTAATTATCACTCCTAATCTTCACACATAATGCTTTCCTCTCATGTTATTCATTACTCAACCCCAGAACTTTCTCACAACAGACCTCAAATTCACCTTTTCACCCCTGAAAGGCAGAAATTGCATCTTCGAACACACTTCAGGCATTTATTTCAGACATTAGCCACTCCTGTTCAGAAAAACAGATGCCAGTACCCATCTCTTACTCCATTAACAGGAGGGGCAATTCAGATAAGGCAACAGGTCTTTGTGCTGAGCTTCCTCCAGCAAAAGACAAGAATTAAGGACAAAGTCCCCTCACTACAGATTTATGTAACTTCTAGAATTTGGCTCCTATGAAATCCAAGCTGCAGAAAGTTCTCACTCCCTGCAGGAATTTCTCAGGGCACAGCTATTACTCAATCTGACACCTGCTAAAGCAGGAGCAGCAGGACACGTTCTCTGATGTCTGAAGGGTACTTACATTTCTTGCTCTGCTTTTCCACTTCAGCCTTTAATCTCTTGTATTTGTCTGTCCGGTAAACCAGCACCCAAGTGATACCTGAAACAAACAGCAAGTAACCAGGTAAGCAAAGACCTCCTGCAATAACAGTGATGCAAGTGACCAAATGCACATGCAAAAATTAAACACTATGTCTACAAAACCATGTCACAGCACAGCCAAGGCAGCACAAAGCACCAGCAAGAGGTATCATCCCTTTCCTTCATATCCCCTTCGCATGTTTCAGGTAAAACAGAACTGTAAAATAAACTATGAAATAAGCTATATATAACACTAAAAAAAACTTGTTTACTTCTTAATTTTATATATGAACTACATATAAAATAAATGTCTTCAGAAATTGACCAGCTTCAGTTCCCTCATGCTCATATTTACCAGCTGTTGCTCACCTTAAAAATCAAGGGTTGATTAAGGCAATTAACATCTTTGTGTTCTGCTTTCTCACACCACCTAATTAAGGCCTGAGGAATAATTCCTGCTCCTACCAGGACCTGTCCATTAGCAGCATCACATTTTGAAAAGGTAAATTAAGATATGAGACTAGACTGGAAGAGACTTCAAAAGTTTCTCCAGTCTAAATTTCTCGCACTTAAACATCATAAAAACAAGTTGAGCCACAAGAGGTTTGTGAGCAGCTCAATATCAGCCCCCACACAAAACTCTTGGCCCCTTTTTTTTTTGTCTTTGTCTTGACAGCAGGGCTGTGCTGCTGAGTCCCTGGAATCACGAGCTGCAGGCAAGGGAACCCTGTAAACACTTCCCAGGTCAACACAGCTCCGTGCTGTGAAAGGCAGAGGATGTGTACACAGTACAACCCCTAATGCCAGGAGGGCTCCCAGAGGGCCAGTGCCATATTCCTCTGGGGACCCTCCGTTGGGATGCACAAAGGTGGTGTCTTGCAGCTCCGGGATGAAGGTTTGGGGTTAGAGGGGATAAAGGGGATTTAGGGATACAGCTCAGTGCCAGGAAAGGGGCCTCTGGCTTGTGACTACCCCAAAAAGGCACCTATCCGACTCATCCTTAAAAAGCTGCACCTATTTCAACCACTTAAAAACAAAAAGTCCTTTCAAGCAGCCTAAGCCACCACCGTCGCACGTTCAGGCGGTTTCTTCACGTCCTTCCCACAAGAGCTACGGTGGAAAACCACCGTGTCCTCCCTCCTTCATCCTCCCCCCCTCCTGCGAGAGGGAACAACCCAACTCCTCTGCACGACAACCCAGTGCTGTTCGGGGTTTATTCACCGCTGTCCTCCAGGGTGCCC